GTCAACCAATGATGGAGGATTAGACAAGCAAATTGGAAAGCCAAGATCAGGATCAAGATAAAAATTAAATAACGCGGTTAAATTATGTTGAGATTGTGAAAAGTTCAGTGGCTTCGGTGGGATTGGAACCTACACATGGACGCCGTCTACACTTTTGTACAGCGCACGCCTTACCAGCTGAGCTGCGACTCCACACCGATAGTACTGATCTTTCATTCGGCGGACTCCGGTGAATTCTAAGGAAAACCTGTCAGGGCAGTCAGCTTACATGCTAACTGGTGAATGCATATGCCTCTGTAAGTTGGATGGGCAATTCGAATGTGAAAAGATCAGTGCTACCGATGTGGCCTCGTAGCTGAGCTAGTAGAGCGTGCGCTGTATGCGTGGGTTCGCATCCCACTGAGGCTACTGAACTTTTCACAATCTCAACATAAAACTTCAATCTGCCAAACAACAATGTAGGCGGTTAAATTATGTTTGTGCAAATACATATGAGTCCAATTCATGTCTCTAATCAGCAACTAGACTAATCTAGAGGTACCTACCTCAGTCCTTAAGACCAAGTTCCCTAGTCTAGGTTTTCACAATATCACCCCACATCTTATTCAAACCTCCACTGGGATTTCTTTGCCCAGTACCTGTCTCGGTAAACATCACCGTTAGAGGAAGCCTATCTGATGGCAATCGCACCACATGTTCCAGTCATCGTACAACATTGGAACCAAGCAGTTTCTGAAAATAGCACGTGTAAGAGGATGAATTAAGTAAGATTTCTGATTGTTCATAGTAAAATAACATAAGCGCCATGGATTGTTTTGCGTGTATTTTTTTTACGCCAACACAAGTAGTCACTTCATCTTCAATCTTCGTCCCTTTTATGCAAGAAACAGAATGAGATTTTCTCTTTACGACTAGATCTTATTTATGTGCACTGGAAATAAAGTGATTGTTGTTCCTCACATATTCCAAAGCTTTACTGAGAAAATTTAATGACGTGCAAGAAGGACAACCCAATGAAATCGATCATAAATCCTAAATTAGAAATACGATCTCTTGGAACGTTGAGAAATGCAAGTGTAGTTTAGTGCAGATTATTTCAAATTTTGCGAAAATCACCGAAACACTCAACCGAAAACAGATTATTATCTGTACACATATTGAATAAATGTAATTGCACGACGACGATTTTTGTCAACTGTCTGCTTTTACAGCGTAATTCATAGGTACAATATGGCAATAACGGTTCACTGCTATTACACATAAATAAAGGTATTTTCATTAGGTTTGTTCAATGAATTTATTTAAATACTAGTCCTGGAAGGAAATTAGCCAACGCCTGCTATTTATGCAGATTTTATAATACTTTTAACTGATTCTCAGGGATTAAAATAACCCTTAAATTTCCAATTAGAGTTGAAAGGTAGTTGGGTGGCTTCAGTCATTGAATGCACCAATTGATGGCCTGAAACGAGCTATCGGTTTCAGAAATTAATCAGCCACGAAGTACAGAATGATACCGTGTTTGGATTTAGTGATCCATCTAACTGCCGACACTCTTCCTCTAGTTAAGAAGCTTGACAAGTGCGTAAAGTACTGGATGGGAATAATACGGCCAGGTAGCAATAGACTGCACCTACTCTAGCCTATTTTTTCTGCTTATAAGCAACACATGAACTTGTGAATTTGTGACACATTTGCTCAAAAAACAGTTTACAGAAACGGAATACTGACAGAAATGTTTATTCTCATGTTTACTGTTCTCACTCATTAAACTGGTTTTAGTTCCTTCTCAGAAATTTTTATTTAAATTATGATAGCACTGCATTAAACTTCAGTTCAAACGTATAAAGGTGAGGTTTCATCCAATCTTGAACAGTTTTTTAACATGTGCTTTTATCTTACACTTGCTTACGAAGTTGTATTTGTCAGGCAGAGTCAGCGAATGACTCTCAACGAAAAGGCCTCCGAGACAATGTACAGCAGTACAGTTTGGCACAGAATCTGGGCTCAGACGTGCGTGACATCTAATATGTAGTTAAAACCGTTCCAATTTAACGGTACTTGGATCAAATCAGTTTGATCGAAGCTCACTAAATGGACAAAAAGGGACGTTCACTAATCACAGCATATCTTATTGACCGGTATAGCTTTTCCGTGCTTACACCTGAAAGTTGGTACTACTCCGTCTGTTCGTGGGGTAGATTGACAGTTTCGAAAGAGTTCCTCCTGTTACGAAAGCAGTTAAGTGTAAATGGTGAAAGGCCAGAGAAAGAAAAGACACTCAGAATGATGCATTGAATCACGGAGGGATGCTGACCTAAGCACCATATTTTTCTCACTCGAATTCATGCTTATTAGACACAGAATGTGTCCGTTAGAGAACAGTCTTTAAATAGATTCTTCCCCCGGGTAAAATAACAGAGTTGCATTTTATTTTGTAGCATTGAATGTTTAAAGATCTTCCGGTTATTTCTCAATATTTTGCAACATGATTCGACTTGTGTATTCTGGAGCACTAGTTGTTCAAATCCAATAAAATACAATGTTAATCACGTAGTTGTGTCTATACATACGGTGAAGAAAAATAATCAAATTCATAATGAAAACAGAGTGAATTGAATGGCATTTGTTGAGTTTTCACCCAAGGTTAGGAGAGATTGAAGGTCATGTTGAATGTACGTTCGTTTTTCCCACATAAATCTTCAACACAAATGGGGGTAGGATGGAATGAAACGATTTTGTAACTATTTCTCATCACATCCCATTTTTCCACGAACCGTGGGCATGATTAGTGTCTAATGAATACGTCTGGAACGGAAATGCCATCAATGTTCACATTTCAACTCATCTCATCGAGTTCGATTCAATCGGACCGAGGTTGGTTGCATGCCAGAGAACAAGCAAAGTCTGCGGCAAGCATGTGATACTGATTTGTCACGCCTTTTGGCGACTGGTGTTTGGTCATGATCGTAGCAAACAGTTGACACGATCAATGCTTGACCGATTTTTGACTGAGCGGGTGAAAATTTGAATTTGCCGGGGCAAATTCAAACACTCATTCAGCTATTCAATCACACACATATGCTCGTACATTGAGAGCAAAATCAGTCCTAATCGACAGGTCAATGTATCGCTATAATCAAAATATCATCATTTTTCACTGGAGATCACTCGAACTCTATATAAAAATTCATGTTTGACCGAGTTCCGTTTGCTTGATGTCATTAGTGTACCCGGAACGTTGCTGTCAGATATTTACACACACGGTTACACATCAATGAGCGAACTATCGTTCAAATTAGCACTCATCCACCCGAATCGAACTAACAATTATTGTATGGTGTGTTCACGGATTGAACCGGTTTATTCGGTGCAAAAAGCTCAGTCAAGGTGCAGTACTAAACATCACAAATTCGCGAGGAGAGTTGATTGGGTGGTGTGGGTAGGGACTGAAATGATGGAACACAAATACATTGTGACGTTACGAAAAATGAGTTAAAAGTTCATGAAAAGTTTTGCGTCTATGGGAGGTCTCGACGGACAGTTGGCTAGAGCATGTATAGTATTGCCAAAATCTGGGTCAATGCGAAAGAAAGTAAAACAAAATTGCCAACCACAAGAGAGAGATTGCAACATTGCGAGACGAACTAAAACAAATATTTGGACAGACGGTGTGGGATTTTTTTGAAGGCAAGAACTACTATCGAGCCTGAACTAAAAACAATAGACTGCTCAGTTAAAAAGAGCATAGGCGGTCAAACGTAGCTTATTTTCTCAAATCCCCATTTTGATCAAATGGTAAAATTACGTTAGAGTTCAGAATTTTTGCATTTGTAACTGTCTGTTAGATTTTTCATGTTAGATGACGCTGCACCATAATCACGTGTTTCCAGTCAAATTTAAGAAAACCAAAGTCAGTTGTTAATAAAAAGTAACGGAACTGAAGACATGAACTACTACCCGGTCAAGCTGCTAAGCGGCAGCTTTACGCTACTAAAGTGGCTCTCGTGGGACCAAAATAGTGCGTTGTTGACGATAGGCCGAATAATACTGCAGCCTTTGCGATGCGTCCAGTTGTTGAATGATAACCTTTGCCGCATAAAGGGTATTATTCTTATTATCAGATTGTTTTAAGCGCTACCTCAAATTTGAAGCAACATAGTGGATGCTCCTTTTCTGTGATCAATTTTTCTTTCAATTCAAATAATTGACTAGAGCAGAGTAAAGTTGTTAATCTTCATTGGGCTTCGGTCTTCACAACCTTTGCCGAGGAGTTTGAGCCTTTTATAGGAATAGGTCAGTAAATGAGACCATTTTTATCCAATTTAATGATGCATCGTCAAAAATATCTTAGAGTTAGAATTGGCTTGGAAGAAATCCTATCTCGATTACTCCGACCGTTATCACATTATATTTGTGCTGCATTCATGTCATTGAGATCATGCTTTGTAAGCTCTCAGATTCTGCTGTTTATAGTATTTTCTTTTTGTGGAGAGCATAACTATAGATTAGACTGTTTTTCTGTTCCGTCAGCTGACACGGGTGCCATGTCGAGTTTTCGATTGGTGAGATGACTTAACTGCCAGGCATATAGTTGTGGTCATTCTTCCTCTTCGCCTAGGTATTGCCATGTTGTTCACGAATAACGAGTGACTACCTCCTACTGACCTTGTAAATGTCTTCAATAATATGCTGGCTTACTTCAATTTCGATTTCCTTCAGAAGAGTTCCCTTCATTGATAGTATTAGTTTTCCAATTTAATTACCATCAGGAATATGGCAAGGATTGGAGGGCGTCCATGATGAGCCTATAAAGACCTACATTCTTCAAACTTGAGGAGACGTAAGGATTATGGAGATCATGATGCAGCCCACAACACTGAGGTTAAGATAAAATCAAATTACTTGTACATTTCTGCAGTATTTTTTCGTGTGTGTGTGCGTGTGCGTGTGATTGGTACGAACGATGAAAGGGACTGCTGCCTTTATAGGAATTAGCCATGCTGTTCACCAGTCTGCATCCAGGAGGCAGTGTCATCGCGATTGATTCATGGTGGGTATGTGTTTCATCAGTATTTTATCTGGCTCAAAATGCAACACTGTAGACAGACTGCCTACATGTTAGTTACTGGGATAATAAATCCGTGGTTTTAAAAGTTCCGCAATATCGACTTTACTCTTTGATAAATGTTTCACATGTGGAAGATCTGAGTGTAACTAGTAGCCATCAAAAAAAGAATGAGTGCAATTACACGAATGGCAGCTTCTCATTCAGGAGATTCCTAATGATTGGAGAGGTATATAGTGAGAATGTCGTTGGGAAAAATCGGTGTGTTATGGAAAATCTCACGTGAACAGTTACACAACGCGAGGAAAGGAAACCACATAAAAACCATAAAAAATAATATTTGTCACTATTTCAATTTACAGTAAGGTTAGAATCCAGGTTCAATTCTGATAGATATCATTTTTGCCTAGATCTGTTTGCCTTATTATGTCAACCTGAAACTATTCTGTTCTCATTTTATGCACCATAAGCTGATCAACTTCAATAATCCTCTTCATGTCTGCTCTTCGCACAGGATTTGATTGAACTGACTGAACTTCGACGATTGGCTCACGATCATCCCATCTTGTTTGTGATTGTTCCACCTCGTGAGGTCTATGAAGCGCGTAAACTAGCTCGGAAGACTCAGTCAATCCCGAAAATTCGAGCTCCCTCTTCGGCCACCCGTGAAACCAAACCAGCTCCCATCATGACGCGAGCATGGTATCGTAGATCCAGTGCTATCCTGCGCAAAGATAACAGTTGCTTAAAGCAGTCACGTCCATCGGTTGAACTGGACAACAAAAGTGGGTCATACAACAATTCCGCAAAATCTACCGATCGTGCTCGCGGAGAATCCAGTGGTGCGAATGCCAATGGGGACTCGTTAAATCCAACCTTGTTGCGTAAACTATTAGAATTGCCCCAACTCCAGGGAACCGTGACTACGGGAGATACAGAAAACACTTACGATCGAACTGGTGAACGCGAATCCAATCTCATGTCTAGCACCACAGATCCAATTAATTTATTAGATCAGAGTGAATTTCACTCCAAGCTTCTCTCCATTCTTGTGCACTTGGGTTTCTTGTCCCAAGGTACAACACAAACAACTGGATTGGATCATATCCAAAAATCACTTCAAATGGATACCAGTAAGGCAAAATCTACCGGTGGGCCTGGACTGCCTCGCACGGTCAGTGGTTCAATCGAGCCATTAGACAAGATTGAAGGTGCCCTGGTGAAATACGATAACGGGTGAGTAGGATCCTATGTTGAATAAATCGTTTGATGCTTCGTTGGGTAGTGTGTTACAAATGCGTACTTCATTATTATTATTTATTTGCTTTGTTTTATTGAATATATAATGAAACAGTATTCAGGAAGGTGGAAACCGTCAATCAAACGCTGTTCTACAAAACAGAAATAAGGGAAACTCAGGCGGTGGTTTCAAGGTTCGAAAAGTCTTCCGGGGTGATATTTTGGTGGCCTTTACCACTTGAATAGCACCGCCTTTCACTTTCTACTTGAGTAACTAGTGCTTCAGGATTTAATACTGCCCTTCTATGAGAACAAACGAAAATAACTGGATGAATTGGAATTCGATCCGTAACATATCGGACCGAATAAAAACAAGTTGATCACTTCAAGTATCTACAATACTTTCCATAACTTAGGACAGGACAATTATGTCTTTCGCGGAACCACGTACACAAAGAGCGCAGCAGCAGAGAATGCATACATGGTCTCATATAGCGCTACCGTGACTGGTTGATATAATTGCTCAAGGTGCGTTAAACGTCTGTGTGAGCTGAATAGGAGGATGGGAAAGCTGTGACTATCCTGTCGTGAGTTTTGGAGCGTACTGCAGATACACAAGTGAAATTATCTAGATTGCTTTCTCTCTCTCTCTCTATATATATATATATATATACATTTGGCGTGTTTCACGAGCAGCTTCAGAATGCTTAATGTGATTATTATGGTTTGCCAAACTCGCTATGGATTCCATTTCAATAACTCATCTATGGGCCGATGAAATCCACACACGGTTTATCCTTTGAAACGTTACGAACATATGAGGTTGACCAATGGAGCTGCAAAACCTATATCTAAGTTGTTACAATTCAGAAGGATCTGAGAGAACTGTTCTGCTTATAACTGCAACCTTACCTACAGTACAGCCTCGCAAGACTCGTGTGATCCTGGTATACTGGTTAAGTGGTTTAGGACGCTGTAACACTATAGTGATGAATT